CTTGTATGAATTTTTTCAAGTAAAAATGTTAATTCACCTTAATTTGTCAAAAAAAAAAAGAAAATGAGGCATTTTTTTTAAAACCATAACAGAGAGGAAACAGAAAATCTACGTGTAACTATTTCTAACTATTCATCAATCAATATTTGTTTTAAAAATCATGTTTTCGAAAATAGCAAAATATCAGGCGTACGAACCATCGTGCAATTTTAGAGCTTGTCCCTGACACCTACTTTCACGTCAACCTCCAGCGCCTGGTGACGGTGTCGCTATAATAAACTCATTCGCCCAACCCAACCCAACCCAACCCACCCCACCTGCTTATCCATCTCTATTGCGGGAGATAAGAGACAAAATTCACGGATTCTTCAACGGAATCCTCTGGTCTGGGCCCTTTACGATGAATCGCCGGCTGAAAACTGGGCGAGGTGATTGCTAAGACACTCGATTTACCCTTTCCGTCTTGGGATCAGGTGTCGAGTTCGTCAAGTTTTGCTTCTCCCGACGAACCCAGTTATGGGTTCCTTTTCTTCTCCTTCTCCTTCTTTGTGTTTGGGGATCGATATGCAATGGCAATGTCTCTGAGGTGTGTCAGTTCTCTCTCTCTCTCTCTCTGTTTTTTCTTTTTTTTTTTTTTTGGTTTTTACTTTTTTCCCGATATGGAATCTGGGTCGTTCTTGCAACTTGTTCGTTTGGTCTGAGTTATCGTCTTTGGAAATCATTGTTGTCCTTCGAGAAGATTGTGTATTGTGAGACAACCTGCTAAATGTGGTGGTGTGGATTGTGGAAATTGGGGGTTCTTTTTGGATTTTTTTTTCGTCTTTTGTACTTATGAAAAGAAAAGAGAACCCTAAAAATCTGAAAAAACTGTATCCATTCCATGCTTCTTTTTCATCGTTGAGCAAAAATAGCTTCTGAGAATTTTAAAGACAATGCTGGTTTCTGAAATGATTCCATTTCTCATTTTCCTAAAGAACCTTCTGCCAGGCATGTTTTCTCTTTTCAGAAACAAATCTAAACAGTTTCTGTTGCATTATGTTCGCCATTGGGATGATTATCAGTGCAGTGATTATGTTATGTATGCTTGGAGGACTTTGCTAAGAGAATGTAAAATGGAAGAGCACGAAGCCAGGAAAAGGGGAATGAAGAAGATTAGAATAAGAAGAATAGGTCGCCTAATTAGAATTCAGATGGAAATGAAGGAGATAGGGAATAAAATATTTTTTTTCGAAAATATAAATATACTTTTCCTATATACAATAAGTGAGTATAGATAGTTGTTGCTTTTCCTTCTCTTTTTCCTCAACAAATTATGGATTAAGCGTAATTATGCTTTGGCTTGTGATCTTGGAGATGGAACTACGCATTTGCGGTGCTTTATTTTGTCTGAAATATACGTAGGCTGCATCGAAGTGATTTTGTCATTTCTTAATTATGCCTGTGCCTGCATCGTAAATTATCTAAAATTCATGATATTTAAATCATGGTAATTTACATGGATTAAAGAAGTGGCCTTCTTTCACTTGGGTGATAGAGATGCCTTGCTTTTTGAGACTTGTTATGTTTTTGCAGCTATTATTTTTGCTGATACCAAGGTGAACTTTTGTCTTTGATAGTACGTTCTTCTAATTCTGTATGAGTAACTAGGAGATCCTGACATACAAGTTGAACCATAGGCTTTCACTTTAGTGGTGGAAATGTGTGCTTGCCCCATTTGTCAATTATATGGTGGACGCAGATGGGTTTAGTTATGACATTATCATCTCTTTTTTACTGTTCTAAAGTTCTGCTGTTGTTTATTAAGCCTCAAGCATTTGTACTCTGAATTGTGCTATCCTGGAAGTGAACCAGGTTGCTGAATGTATGTCATTCACTGATGTGTCAATAACAAAGCTAATTCTCCTCAGCCAGCTAGTATCCATGTCTTAATTTCTTTCTTATGATTATAACTTGCAAATCCCCTTGTTTTAATCTGTCAGGAATGTTATTTGCTGACTTTTTTGTATTAAATGCATATACCTGCAATCATATAGATATAATAAAGCTCACGTTCTGTTAGAAATATATATTTTCCTAAATCTGTGGCCTGAGAATAATTGTATTTTTCCTGAAGGTTGTTTTTACAGATTAAGAGATGTAAATAGCTATGACCAACATCAGTTAGAAGTAGACACATCTTTCTTTCTTGGTGTAATCTGTATTGATTTTAAACATTGAAAATATCAGTAACTTGTTCCTTACACACTCGGTTTGTTGCTGCAGTGCCTTTTTGCTTACTGTTTTTCTTTATACCTTCTCATTTATAAGTTACACTTTTTGTTATTTTGACAATATCTGTTTCTGTCTCCTTCTCTTATGGGCATATTTATTGGAAACTAGTGCTAAGCACTAGGCAATAACTGTAAGGGAATTTTATTGGGAACTAGTACTAATACTTGACAAATTATCACTTGAATGTGCCATGCTTGTCAAGCTACTTCTTGGTGTACAGTTGTATATTTCTATGGTCAACTCAACTCAACAAAGCCTTTCCCACCACGCGGGGTTGGTTACATCTATACATTAATATTAATTTATATTTTCCTTGCAGTTTTCTTTCCAGGTGCTAAAGAACCATGACAACATCAATGCCAAAAGTTGAAAGTATGGCATCGTTGAGTAGTGATCTCTTCTATGACATATTAAGGCGTCTTGATGGTGCAACTTTGGCTAGTGCAGCATGTACCTGTGCAGCACTTCATTCCATCTCAAAGGAAGAAAGATTATGGGAAAATGTATGTGCGTCTACATGGCCTTCAACTAAATCTGAAGATGTCAAAAGTCTAATAGCGGTGGTTGGTGGTTTTAAAAAGTTCTATGCAGATTGCTTCCCCCTGATTGTAAATAAAGAAGTTCCTGAGTTTAATTTGACTGATTATCTTAAATACCCTGAAGAATGGGATGAGGCTGAGTACTACGGTGACATGGAGGAGTTTGAAAGTATTTCACCATCTGATTTTGTCTCTATTGTGGATATTCGGTACAAGGACAAAACTGTTTGCTCTAAAGTCCTTTGGGGTATTCCTAATGCAAATGGGGTGAATGGATGGTTTTACAACTGTCCCTTCCGAATTGATCTACTAACCAATGATGAAATTACCCTTTCAGTATCTGATGGTATTCCGCCAATCACATCCATGGAAAGAGAGAGAAAAGATGGGAAGCTATGGCAAGATCTCCGAAATGGGCTCCAGCTCAGTTGGATTGTTGTAAATAGAAGAATAAAGCAAGCAGCCAATTTATCAAGCTGGAACTCTCTCGGAGGCCAAAGGCATTGGCCTACAGACAATGACTTTTTAGTAAGGTTCGGGTCAATTCTTCCTGCCAAAGACATTCTTCCTTGTCAAGTTGTGGAGTGTATCCTTATTATGAAGTTTAGAGTGGTCCACACTGAAGTTGATGGCAACAATACAACTCTCAAACTCACTGAGCTAAGCATGCAGTTGGGAGACATGGAAGGTGCTCATGTTAATGGAAGAAACAGTTTACTTGTGCTCAAAGAAGCACTAAGCTGCCACAGGAGTAAGAATTACAGTGAAGCCCTCGAATCTTGTCATCTATACTCAAAAGTGCAGAGCGAATTAAAGGAAGAGAAGATGAGAAATGAAAGCAGGTTAGACAGACTATGTATCTTAAGTGGCATTGCAGCATTTGTCACTGTCTGTTACTACTTCCTGTAAGATAGATGTTACTTAATTTTGAAAGATGCTATCTATATTGTACTCCTCTAACAAACTTCAGTTGTAGACTTCTAATGTAAAATTCAATTTTGGTCAGCTAATTAAATGATCTTTCCCAAGTGTTCGTTTGTGAAATAAAGTTCTGTAAAATTGTTCAGCAAGCAATGTTAGAGCAGCAAATGGCTTAGAGTATATGGGGTAATACAATTTCATTCTTCATTTTTCCCGATCAATTAATCAGCAATTACTCGTATTTTTTTTCATCATCTTTGACTTTTGTTTGTGGAATGCAAGTTCGTAGGCATCTTGTGCACCATTTTATGGTTACACAGTTTTTGTTGGTTTACATAAACAGAATTCTGAAGTATGATAACTAATTGCAATGGAGGTGCATACGAACAGAATTCTGAAGTATGCTAACGAATTGCATTCAGATGGCACGCTTTTTCTGTAGCTAGTGTTTTAAATTTGTCTTTGAAGGAAATAGTAAGACACGGAGTTCTTGTGGTTGTGATAGATTGATAGGATTCTCTATTTCCTGCATTTCTCCCTGTGAATTTGGTATTTCTGTTTGAGCCTGTGTCAGCCTTCAATTCTGTTTCTAAGCATCTTTTTCTGGTTTTTGTTTGTCGTTGGTAGAAAATGAGCTCTTATTCGTACTTTTTCTACTTTTGTTTTGCTTGTAAACTGAGGTTCAAATGGATAGTTTTATGTATAAAATACTTCATTAAATGATCAGACCAGTCCTCTTTGTTTTATGCCGTGTTCTGCGATAAGATCTATTGTCTAATTCTCATACAGCATGTAACGAACATTGTCTAGTTAAAGACTTACCATCTATTTGCCATGGTAATTGAAATAAATTTTACACTGCAGTAGATTTTTATGAATTTCTCCGGTTGTAATTACCTATTATAATGTAGTATCTTGAACATCCCTATCCAGATGTTCGGTTTGGAAATTCTAATTACTATTTAAGAAAGAAAATTAATGTATATATTTTGGTTCATTTCTTTGGGTTTTAGGCCATTATCTCTATTCTCCCTGACCGGTCAATATTTTGATTGCTATACAATAAATTTAGCACTAATTCAAAATTATTATTAAGAAAAAGGCGACAACAGATACACGCCCTTCATGCAAAATCATCCCCAGGCATACTATTGAAGAAAGGTAGTTATGTAAACAACATAAAGAATGAAATGTTTAGACTATTGTGGTAGACCTCACACTTCTGTCACAATCTTTCTACTCACAGAGTGACAGTAGGTTGCTAACTCCTTATTCATCAAATGGGTATTGCTCATACCTAATTTTGCAGTCGATGAGCGCAGTCTGAGCCCCGATCCGGCTATTACAGCCCTGGAACATGGCTGTCTTGGCAGCCTGGAGGCATGTGCCACAGTCGGGGCTTGTAAGGTTGGTATTGCAGGCGGCGTGGCCATAGGCAAAAGAGTTAGGGTAGGGAGAGATGTTCTTATAGTCGTAGCCTTTCCTTGTCGGGGTAACAGCCTCTAAGTCCGCAATAACATAGGCTAAGCTAATGGCAAAAGGATCTCCCGCTGAGTAGGTCTGGGAGTTGCAGAGAACCCTCGAGATCTTGGTGTTTGGGTCACCTCGGACTGAGCCTGGCAATCCAAACAATACAATGAAGAATCCAATTATAACCTCCTTCATCTCCATGTGGAAACTGATCTAGTATCTGGTACTGGCTCCCTCTCTCTCTCTCTCTCTCTCTCTCTCTCTCTCTCTCTCTCTCGTATTTCCTTCTGATGAATTGGCCTTTTCGATTTCAACTCTTCTATCGGAGCCTATTAGGTGGTTCTTCTACATTATTTTTATCTTTTGATTGAAAGGTTCTATTGAATTGTCCGTCAGTTGACATGGTCCCTTCATCAGCTGTCTTCTTTTGATTTGTTCCGTATCATTCAAACTTTCAAAGATTCCTCTTTGATAAGTTGGTGCTGTTCTTATCTTGTATATGCACGTGATCCATGCGGGCAAAAATATACATGAATTTGATATGCAAAGGCCCAAAGGAAAGACTCTAGCAGACTAAAATTTTGCTTCCATAAATACCCTTCTTTCTCATGTTGTTTATAATTTTACATGGCTTTAGTGTTTCGCCATCAGCAGTCCCTTTCCTTTCTCTTCCCCTCTGTGTACGCGTTACATACATACAAACGCTTATCCTTATCAGTTGGTTGGCGTTCATGGCTGCTGTTGGAGCTTGTTTCCAAATACAAAGTCAATTTCGCATATAATTGGTTATCAACATTTTGCCATCTAAGAAAAACAAGAAATTCTCTTTTCTCATTTCAAGTAAGAACAGTCCACATTCTCGAAATGTAGGGTGGTTTAGCTACTTAAACATAAGCGGCAACGCCTTCAATTCTCATAAATTCAGTTATTTTCATACTATAATATATTTCTTTTTTCAGTTTCTTGATGCATATCCGTAATAGTGCTAAAAAAATTGGGGCTCTGATGGTTAAATACATCATCAGACGCTCTCATATGGTGAAAGAAGGAAGCTACTTGGTTCGAAAACCGGCAATTTCACCAAGTTCTTCAACTTCTTTCGCTAGTATCTCCACCTTGTCTACTATCTCCATGAGTAAGAACACAAAGGTAGACATGGCAAGCCCTTCACTGCCTTCTAGCTTGGAAGCAGAAGTCACAAGGGTAAGCTCCTCTTTAATTGCCTGCAATTTAGATGGTATGAGGGCTTTGGGCTGGCTCTTTTCCATTTTCATAAATCTCTGTCCTAGCTCTCCCAGAGTCCATGCTAGGGATGACCCAACTTCTTCCAGTGGTTGCTTCATTAGCTGCCTCTGAGACTGCATGGGCTGGTCAAACAATATGATGGAGTGTGAATATCCCAAACTTTTTGGATGGGTTAGTAAACAGATTTTCTGAAAATTTGCCACTTCTACCTTCTATTTAGAGACAATTTAAGCACTAGAATGAGCATCCCATACCTGCCTAGGAGATTGGAGACACCCTTTTAAAGAAGCAAGGGTAGCAGCAAGCTCTCTAAGAACATCTCCAATCCTTAGGTACTTATCCCAGGGATAGAATATCCCGAATTTTCCATGCCATGGTTCCCATCTTGCAAAATTTGCCTGGAATTGCAGGTTTTGATTCAGATGAACTCCTTGGTTTCTACTTCAAATTCGTGTAATTATGTTGATCAAGAAGACTTACCAGGGTCTCATCATTGGACTTCGAGTTCAACACCGATTCACACCCTGAAGAATTGGCTTTACATCGGTTTTCCTTTTCCTCCACCGATATAAAATACTCCTCCAAGCATCCTACATTGATAGTGGAAAGCATTTGGTTTCACATTGTTTTCGTTTCTGGTTAAATTACACTAAAGATCCCCCTAGCTATTTAGATTCTCAATTTTGTTTCTCAAATTTTAGTTTGTGCGAGCAGGTTCCTGGACTCATGAAATTGAATCAACGTCATCCGAGGTAGTCAAAATCAATCAAATATACATGGCAAAACCCAAGCCAACACTGACGTGTTAAGGTTTAAATGAAAATTAAGGAAGAAGTTAAACCTTAATCACGAGCAATTATGTGGCTTTGCCTCTTCTTTTCTGAATTATTTTTCATCATAATTTTCATGGATAATGACATTGATTCAATTACATTAATCTGAATATCAGATTGCAAAAAGCTAAAATTTGGAGATAAAATTGATAACGCAATTACGCACCCGGAAAATCTTACCTTCAACACAAGAAGCAAGCTTATCAAACTTGGAGGCGATGGAGAAATGAAGCTCATCACTAGCCCACATGGGAAAGGCTAGAACACTGGTGAAAACAGAGACGGCCAACCCTATGCCGATGTCCACTAGGCGTTCGCGTGCTAACCGGATGACCTCATCGGCGCGCCAGCCCGACACCACAATAAGGTTGAAGGTGAGGATGAAAATCATGGCTCCATAGTCATACCTCCTTTTAATCCTCGGTATTAACCGAACATATGTTGCCGCTATACCTGTTGAGGATCATCAGCAGAATTGTGACATATTTGCCATCTCTCTGTTTTTTTTTTTTTTCATTTTTTTTTATGAGTACGCAGAATGGAGATGGGGGAGAATGAAGGTTTGATAATCAAACCATACTTTTGAGTATGTTTAACTTTATTGAATTATAACTGCCTCAAAAAATAAAAAAATAATTGAAGTAGCTGAAAACATTAAATTGAAAAGAGATAGTACCCGGTTTTGAATACGAGTAATTATTGTACCAATAAATTTCAAATTTATGATAAAGAATGAGGATGTGAAAGTAATTTAAGATATGCTTGTTTGTCAAGAAGTGGAAATATAAAAGTTTTGAGTGACGTGTAGTGCTTATATTTTTATGCTTAGAATATGTTTATTAGATCCTCCATTTTTGTTTTATTGGTAAAGAAAACAACTAGGACATCTTATTGAATCAGAGCCAGTGGCTCTAACTTCTACTTTTTAATAGATATTAAGGCCATTAATCTATTAAATCAATCTTAGCATTAAATATAGGAGATGGATAGTATGCTAAAGCCATTCTTTGATATCTTACCAAAAACAAAGACAAAAGTGGCAGCAAAAATGGCGTTTCCAACTCCACCAACAAGTGCATCACCCAGCAATGCTACTATGCATCCCAGACCACCCCCTAATATAGTTCCAATTGCTCTGTTTACTCCCTTGCCCAGCGTTGCACCTGCCCATCAATTAACAATTCATCCAACCAAATCCAAGATTTAGACACTTGTGGACCGCTGACGTTTGGCTAAAAGAAAAGGAAAAAAAAAAAAAAAAAAACCTTTTTGGACTTAAAATATTAAGGTAACTTGGTGTTTCATTATTTCAATTTTTAGAGATATACATTTAGGTCTAAAAAGTTATTTTGTTTTTTAAAAGGGAAATTATGACGTTTGACTTAGGTCACATGACCACACAGAACGAAGCATACCTGCAAAGAACTCAAAGACCACAACAACGGTCATGATAGCCCACATGGCATTCTCCCCAACTTGGTTATACAGTGGATCGAGGAGGTATAAGAGGGAAATCACGACCAAGGCAACTCCTACTTTCACACTATGGATGGCTCTCCTCACTTCTGGCTTACTTTGGCTTCGCTAAAAGAGAAGAAACCAGTGTAACAGGAGCGCATGGAGGAAGCTTCTTCTGGGGCTAAGGCTGATCTCATCTTCTCTCGAATAGTTACAACAGTTGAATGCATGGTTTAACTCAGAAATTTCTCTCGTTTGAACCCTTTTTTCTCTTCTACCCAGTGCAGTGCAGGTAAGGTTGGTTGCAAAGGATTGAATTATATACCCGTTATTCCACGAGACATGTAGCATGCGGGTAGAGGGTACAACTCAGGTTTGGTCCTTGAAGAGATAAAAACCTAAGGTGTGTCTGTCTCCTAATTGTGTACGTTCCCAAATCGATCAACTTGCATGCTTGGTTGACCTCGGTGGGAAGCACACTGGGGTGGCATAAGCACAACAGTTGTCGAACATGGTCCTTTTTTCAATGGGAATCTGCAAAGTTGATATTTGTTTACATTGTTCAGATTTAAAAAATAAAAAAATGAAATATATATATATTTTGAAAAATAAATTATATAAATATATTAAAATTATAAATTTTAAAAAAAATTAAAATGGAGAGACTCTAAAATTGTTCACAACATCCTCACGCAATGTATTGCTAGCTCATCAAAGTAATTGATATGCATTTGTGTGGATTGAAGTGGGCTCAATCATACTAGCACTGAGGTTGGAATGTTACGGTAGCAGCAAGCAAGGCTTCAGATGACACTCCAACTCTTGTTCTTATTTCTTTTAGGAATATTTAATTTTTTTTATGCTGTGAAATTTAATTTTTTTTTAATGCAATTTTGGAAATTATTTATTTTTTTATAATGTCAAATTAATTTTTTTAAATGGTCATTTTTAAAGAGGTCCTTGGATTAAGGTATTATACTATGACTGAATTCAAATTATATCTATTTCAAGTTAAAAGTCACATAGTGCAGATCTATTAATCCCATCAATTGACATTTGAGTTAATCAACTTCTTTCACGTAAGAAGCATTCAGTTTGCTTCTTTTATTGATAGGATTTAAGAGAGAAAGAAAAGTTGATTAGCCTGAGCACTTTTGCTAGAAATTCAAAGAATATTTTGTGGGTAAAATCAGGAAGATATTTAATAGTGCAATCTTTTACTTAAATAGTCAGTGCTTTATAGCCAAAAGTTTTGATTTTGGCTTCTTTAATTGCCCTGAAAAGTGGATTTTTAAAAAATAAAAAAAGAAAATTCTAATTAGTTTTGTACGTAAACTTTCTATTCTTTTAACCCAATTACGAATTATATTTACACACAACACACACACACACACACACACATATATATATATATATGTTACTTTTAATCTCCAACTAATTAGATTTAAAAATTTATATTTTATAAGATTTAAAAATTTTTAAATGATTAAGCAGATATTTAATTTATTTTACCCTCCGAGTGCACACTCCAAATCTCAGCTGGCTTTTCTCTCGTGTCGTCTCTTCTCAGTCTGTGTTTTGTGTCCTCTCTTCTCTACTTCCTCTCCTTCATTAATGGCCTTGACATTTTCTGGCCTTTAATCTTTTGGAGGCCGACATGTACAAAGTTTTTAAAACAAAAATTGGCATTAAATTAAAAAATAAACTCAGAAATCTAAATGAATTATTTAAGTTGCACAGATTTGATATTCAGGAAAAGAAAATTTGTACTGCAATTACATTCATAAAAATCTAGTAAAATAGTTTTTGTATTACATTTTTGTAATTCAGTTGTTTTGCATTTCATTTCATTATATTGGATTGATTTTTTATGTGATCTTGGATGTATTTGATTGTTCACAATATTTCCAGAATTCTATCATATTTCAGTTAAAGTTTCACTGTATAGATGTGATACGAGGATAAGACATTTTTATATTTATGCCAAAAATTATTTATTCAAATACATATTTGGAGATGGACAATCACACTACTTTGAATAAAATTAGTTCCAACCTATAAAATAAGATTGTCAACGGTTAAATTCAAATCAAATCATGATAGATCTGAATTCGATAACATATATAAATATATATATCCGAATCCGATCCGATATCTGATCGGATCTGTAATAAGTATTACATATTCAAATCCGAAAAAAATCCGATATCCAAAAAAATAATCCGAATCAGAATAAAGAAATTTTAAAAAATAAAACAAGAAATATTTTTAAAAATATAATGAAAATTATTGATGCAATATAATTACATTTTAATTCACACAAATTTTCATTTAGAGGTGACTTGTTAATAATAGCCTTTCCCCTTAAATTAAGTAAAATAATTTTGTACAACATTTTTATGAACTATTTGAATTTTTTTTTTCTCTAAAATTCAGTTTTTATATGAAATAAAAATATTATATTTGAAAATTCTCATTATTTAAATAGTTATTTTTATAATATATAATGAAAAAGTGTAAATGTTATTTTAAAATTCCTTTTTTTATATTAACCAACACTTTTGTATAACTAAAAAAAGTAAATTTTTAAGTAAATTTAATACAAAAATTATATTAAATATTATGCCATTTATCCGCACAAAGGTTAATGACAAAAAAAAATTTGACAATAAAGTATGTGATTAGTATATTTTGTAAAAATTAATATTAAAATAAAATCTAAATAATTAAAAGTAATGATGAATTATTCAATTACAAAATTTTTGGAACAAAAATAAAGGAAACAGAAATATTAAGATTAA